GAGCATCCCATCCCTTCACCTTGGCCTTCACCGTGGAATCCCTGGAAGAGACAGATGCCAGAAAATCCAGAAGTGCCCCTGCTTGTAGGGTTGACCGTGTTCTGTTCTATCAAGTCTGTCAGCTTCATGCTGCGGCTAGGAGACTTGCAGTTTGCTGTGAGGACAGAGGGGTCCATGGGACTATACTTGAGGTGACTGTAGCAGAGGTTAGGCTTGCGGGCGAGCTGAGTGGTAAATGGGGTGCACACCGCTGCTCCCGCATGTGTCTAGGATGACACTTTGTTGAGCACTCAAGATGTGCCAGGTGTAGAGCTAAGCATTTCCCACATATTATCCCATTTTATCTCACAACCATCCTGCGGTGGGTATCATTATGTTATCCAGTTTTTAGATGGGAAAGCTGAGAACCTAAAGTGCCCAGCCTGAGGTAACACGAGAGTCTAATACAAGTTCAGGGCAGTATTTAATGCAGGTCTGCCTGTCCCACAGCTGAGTTCCCAGCTAGCATTGAGTCAGTAGGTAGAGTGACTCACGCCCAATATTCCCTGTGTGCACAGCCTAAGGGGAGAGCTCTATGTTTGCCAGGATAGATTTTTTTAAAAAAATTATTTATTTATATTTTGAGAGAGAGAGAGAGAGAGAGACATGCGGGACTCGAACTCATAAACTGTGAGATCATGACCTCAGTGGAAACCAAGAGTCAGATGCTTAACCGACTGAGGGTCCCAGGCACCCCTGTCAGGATAGATTCTTTGATTCCCTGTATTTGAAGAGTGGAGGGTCAGCCTTGCATCATGTCCTCTTTAGCTTTTGTCTTTCCGAAGGCTAAACACACCAATTAATTCTGTCTACTTCTGGGCGCCATTTTGTTGAACCATCTCTAGCCCATCTCCTGATGCTGTCTACAGTAGCATTGATCACTGAGGGCAAGTTTTAAAAAAGTGCTATCAGTTAAGGCCCCCACGGTAGGGTGAGAGGTCCAAAATTCCTGGCAGGTAGCCTGAGGGTTTTTTTAAAAATTTATTTAATGTTTATTTTCTAGAGAAAGGGAGACAGAGCACCAGCAGACAGCAGTTGGGCAGAGAGAGAGGGAGACACAGAATTCGAAGCAGGCTCCAGGCTCTGAGCTGTCAGCACAGAGCCCGATGTGGGGCTCGAACCCACAACCCACGAGATCACGACCTGAGCTGAAGTCAGATGCTTAACCAACTGAGCCACCCAGCTGCCCCAAGTGTTGTTGTTTTCTATAGAGCTCTCTCAGTGTATTCTAATGGGCAGCCAGTGTTGAAAAGCATGGCTCCAATTTGCTTATAAAATGAAAATCTGGTGGGAATGTTGGTATGGGCTTGCCAGTGTGAGAAAGAGAATTATCCAGAATTATCTGTGGCCTATTCCAATGATTGGATAGGCCTTGTCTCCAAGAGCGGCTGAACGCAAATTCAGACCCTTGTCTCTCAAGTGTAGGATGGGGTGTGAGGTTCCCAAACATGGTCACTTATGGGGAAGGTGGAACTCCTCTCGTCTAATCTGGCCATGTTGATTATTTACCTGCATTCTCTCAGGTCCTTAGCACTGAAAACATACTGGAGTGGATTTATTAAAGTTTATTTTATTATGATGGTTTTTAAATGTTTTATTTATTGAGAGAGAGAGAGAGAGAGAGGCAGAGAGAGAGAATCCCAAGCAGGCTCCATGCTGTCAGCACAGAGCCCGATGAGGGGCTCCATCCCACAAACTCCAAGATTATGACCTGAGCCAAAATCAAGAGTCAAACGCCCAACTGCCGGAGCCACCAAGACACCCCCAAAATTTATTTTTTAATTGAAATATAATTGGCATATAACACTCTGTAAGTTTAGATGTACAATGTGTTGATTTGATACATTTATATTGCAAAATGATTACCACTGTAGGCTAGCCAACACCTCTATCATGTCACATAATTATCATTTCTTTTTCTGTGGTGGAAACAATTTGTACTTAGTCTCTTGGCAATTTTGAATTCATAATACAGTATTGCCGTCTATAATAACTTGGCTGTGCGTTAGACCTCCAGGTTTGTCCCCTTAAATAACATCTTCCTGATTCCCTTACCCACTAGCCCTGGAAACCACCATTAGACTCTGTTTTTATGCATTCTGCTCTTTTAGATTCCACATATAAATTACAGCATACAGTATTTGTCTATGTCTGACTTGTCTCACTTTGCATCATGCCTGAAGAGTAGCTTTTAATTGGATGGTTTAACAAGCGAAAACAATCCCATCCCTCTTTCTCCTTGCTTTTATTTACTCCGTGTTTGTGTACCACCAGGTGCCTTGCTCTGGGCAGTGGGTGTTAATGAATGGTGCCACTCAGCCCTCCACGCCTGTGTGCAGACACGGAGGGCTTATAATGGCGGAGTTCATTCACACTCAGCTTCCGAGGGGTGTTGCAGTGCGTCTGGGATGGTTAATATGTAGGCCCCGGCTAGAGTCCCATGGCTTTGCTCCCCAGCTGCCACCGCAGCAGGGAAGTGAAATCCCTAAACTGTAAAGAGAAAAGGAGACTGTAAAGGTTCTAAACCTGATCACTTCCGATACAAAACCACACATCGACCCTTGGTAGGGCTAAAGAGAAGGCAGTGTCAAATATAACACCAAGGTGCAAGAAGGTAGTTTTTCACCTACAAATTATTTTTAAATGCGTGTGCCAGAGTGCATTAATTTAAATACAGATTAATACGTTAATAGCTAGAATTTGAAAATGCAAAATCAGAAGGGCTGTTAAGCAAAAGGTGCTGGGTTGATTAGCATAGAGATCTGGTTGATGTAAAGGCAGAGGGGAAGAGAGGAGGGGAGAGGGAAAGTGAGATGGAACAAGGTATGGACGGAGGAAGATGTTTGGGCTCAGATTTGGGGAACCGTGGGGGGGGGTTGAAGGGAGGAGGTGAGCAGAGACTGTTTTTTTTTTTTTTTTAAACTTCTATTTAGTTCTTTTCTCTTTTTCGTGCTATTTCCCTCACCTGTCTATTCATCCTTGGATATTGAGCCCAAGAAACTATCCTCCGGGGACCCTTAGATTTAACTGAGCAATTTTTGAGGTTTTACGGGGTGCCAGACTTTAAAGCGCTTTGCATATCTTTTACATTTCATTTAGTTCCGAGGGCGGGGGGGGGGGGGGTTGGGAACGTTATTCTCATGCTGCCTATGGGATGAGAAGACACTGAGGAATTTGCACCCCCCTCCATTACTCCACCGGCAGGTGGTGACGGACTCAGGCGCTGGCACACCAGTGCTTGGCACTCAACCACTAAGCCATCCTCGCGGGACTCCGCTCCCCTGGCACAGTCCCCGGGATGAGCTCCCGGAGATTCCAAGTGGCCAGCGGTTCTCAGACGCCGGATAAGGGTCAGCACAGCCGCAGCACTGAAGAGCACCTCCCCAGGGCAGAAAACTGGGGAGACCACGAGGAGCGGACACTACTAGGGCGTTGGGGTTCCGTGACCACCCCCCCACCCCCACCCCCGCCGGAGGAGCGTGCCACGTTCCTAGCGACAAGCTAAGCACCGCTGACATCTCCCGGGCGCGTTTACACTTTGCAAATCTGTCTAGAGAGCCTGTTTAAGTCTCACCGCGGCCCTGCAAAGGGGGTTATTTTTGGTCCCATTTTCCAGACACAGCAAGTGAGGCTTCCGTCCGGCAGGTGGTGGAGCTGTAGGTGTCTGCTGTGTCCCCGAGATAATAAAGTCTGCATGGATTTCGTCATTATTATGCAAAGCCGGCGGGGAGAATCCGACCCTCCCCTGCAGGAGCCCATCTGTCTCCGTGCGCCGCCCCCAGGGCTCAGAAGCCGAAGGCGAGCAGGAGCGGGTGGAGACGCGTCCCCTGCCACCAGCCTGGGCCACCTCCCAGCGCCCTGAGGGCCAGCACCCCCGAAGCCGACCTCCCAAGGCTTATAAAAACCACAGCCTCCCCAGCACCCCGCCCGCCAGCCTCCCCCTGGGAGCTGCATTAATATTAATCCCGATGAATAATTGAAGGCCAGAGATTTATTCGGGCCGTGGCGGGGGAGGGAGCGCAGCTGGGTTAGCCTGGGCCGGGCACCCGGGACGCGGGAGGCTGGGGTGGGTGTGTCGCCTGTAAGGGCGAGCTTGCTGGTGTGCGGAGAGCCCGAGCTAGTGTGCCAAGGAGCGAGGCGGAGCGCAGGGGGCTGCTCGAGGGAGGCGGGGACGGAGGGGCATCCCAGGTCTCCGCGCCCTGGCCTGCGGGGTGACCCGGGGCCACGCGGGCGTGAGAGGGAACAATAGCGACTCCTTAGATCCTGGGCTCCGGCCACGGGCTGCCCAAGTCTTCCCGGCGACCCGCGGGGCCTCGTTTCTTATTTGGCTAATTTATGGCTAGAGGCCGGGGGTATGGGGGACGGCACCGCAGAGGAGGGAGCGCGTCTGGGGACGGGGGGCGAGGGGGCGGCAGCTGAAGGAGTCTCCCGAGGCGGCGGCGCGGGTGATGTCAGCTCTCGACGAAAATAGAGAGGGATCGCCTGCAAATCCCCAGCTGCGGCGGGGCTAAACCTCGCAATCCCTCCCCGGCGGCGCCGAGCCAGCGCGCAGCGGCCGCCACCGCCTCCCCCGGCGCGCGCACACCCGCACACGCGCGCACGCACGCACACACTCCCCTGTACACCCGCGGCACACCCCCCTCCCGGGCCTCCCCCGCCGCCCGCCCCGAGCCCCGCGGCGCACGCAGGTGGCGGCGGCGGCGGCCTGGCGGCCCGGGCGCGGCGCCCGCTCGGGGGGGAAAGGCACCCCCAGCCCCCCGAGCGCCCCGCCGAGCGCCGGCGAGGCGGGACGCGCGCGGAGGAGAGCCCAGCCGGGGCTTAGCGCCCGCCGGAGCCTCCCGCGCAGGCTGAGGCGCTAAAGGGCTTACCCGGGAGGGGGGTGGGAGGCGGGGAGAGGCTCCCCCTTAAATAGCGCGCTCCGCCACTCTCCGGCGCTCACGCCGCGCCCGCTCACCCCGCGCCCGCCACCGCCGCCGCCGCCGCGTCGCCGCCCCACCGAGCCGAAGAGGAGGGGGCGTTCCCCGGACCATGGCATCCACCGAAGGGTGAGGGGGCTTTTCTGCGGACCCGCGGGGAGCGGGCGCGCGCGGGGGGAGGGGGTGGCCCCTCATCCGGGATGGGGACGCGCAGACGTCGGCGCCGGGCCGCGGAGACGGCTGCGGAGCGATGGCTAGGCTGGGGGTGCGATGGTGGGGAGGGGATTGATCTTCTTTGGCGAAGCTAACGGCTTAACCCTTTGAAGACGCGGGAGGCAGACGACGGGTTTATTTTAATCAAAAGGGTGACGGTGGAGCTGTGAAGAAGAGTCCGACGGGGGGGAAAAAAAGAAAAGAAAAACCCTCTTGAGGTTACTTTTGAGATTTACAAGCCAGACGGGATTGGGCACGCTGTGAGCGGCGGGCAGTGCCCGGGGAGGCCGCGCTTGGAGCGCGGCGCGGGCTGGAACGAGGGGACCGGCCCGGAATGAATGAGCCGGGACCAGGACCGGGGCGGGGCGAGGGCCGGCGCGCGCCGCCTTGAATGTCAGATTTGCGGCAGTCTCCGAGTGGATGCCCGGCCTGTGGAGATCGCACCTTGTCCTTGGATGGTGGAATCTCCCTGGCCGGCTCAAAGGAAGAGTGGAAGAGATTTGGGTACTTCCCGGGAAGAGGCGGGAAAAGAAGTAGTTTTGTGCAAGGACAAGAGTCCCCAGATTCCACTGGGTAAAGCGCCGGTTTCCCCATTCTGCCAGGGGCAGTGGAGTTTTCTCCAGCCCTCTGAGGCAGCGGTTGGAGGGGGGATGTTCCCAGTGATAGATGACAGCTGTCTTTAGCAAGAGGGGAGGGGGGCCGCAAGAGGCTAGAGGATCTTTTGAATACTCACACCTCAAAGGAAGGGTCCAGAACAACGTCCCTGGAGTAAGGATCTCCAAGGAAACTTTTCTGCCTTGGTGGAACCTGGTTCTGGTTGAGGAGCTCAGCTCTTTGGTTAATTCACAAAATTGCACTAGCCACTTGCCAGAAATCACCAGATCCAAGTTGTGCAGAAAACCCGTGTGTCAGCCCCCTCGGAGCCCTGGTGGAGAATCCTCGGTGCTCCACCATAGCATTGGTGGAGCATTTTCCATAATTTCTCTCTGATGAATATTCCCGACACCACTGGCTTGTTTTGGCAGAACGGATCTCTAAGTAAGAGTAAAAAAAATCTGGTTCCCAAGTTAGATCTTTAGATTCCAACCTCCAACAAAAGGAAGATAGTTCTAAAGCCATCTCTCTATGTTCAGGAGAAGGAACTCATCCCTTTTCTGTCCCCAGGAGTCTTCCCGAAAGAGTCTGGCACCTTGTGTTGGCATGGGATTTTTCTCTCTTTTCATCCTCACATTTCAGCAGTGTGGACTTTTTTGGATTATAATTTCGCCAAGAAAGATGCTCCAGAAAAACACACGGGTACAAGGAGGGTGGCACCTTGTGCTAAAACAGAGCTCTGGAATTAAATATTAAGAGCCCATATGGCTCAACCTCAGAGCCTTTCCCTGTTCAATCAGTCCTTCAAATTAGAAAGGGTCCTTCTAGACTTAGCCCTGCTTTTAAAAGCTAGGTTGCAAAATGTCTGTGCAAGAGGTGGATGATGGTAGTCTTTCAAATCTTGCACTCAACTCACCCCTTATTTTGATAGCCAGGGAGTGAAGGGAAAGGTGAAGGCAGTAACAAAGAACGCCAAAGGTGTTTGTCCCCTCCTTTATCCTAAATGAGAGTTGTCAAATGATTTGACATTAAATACAGAGTGGAAATGATTTTCAGTATTTTTAAGATTCACATTCAGTTAGTGCCATATTTATACACGGTGCATATTAAGAAAAAATTGGCCAACCCCCCCCCCCAAAAAAAAAAAACAAATAAACCTTGTACGGAGGAGATGAATTGAAAAAAAATTGAAAGGCTGGGAAACATACAGAAAGAGCTATGAGCCATTATCACTTAAGAACAATAACTGGTGAGCAGGTGACATTTTCAGAAGCCCTGGTCTTTCTTTGTCTCTTCCCTTCCTCTGTCTTTTCTTCCCGGAGCATTTACTGGGTAGACCTCAGATGCTAGGCACTCTACGGAGATACAAACACATAAATAGTTTGTGAGCTGGCTTTTAGAATGCTGCCTCTAGTCAACAACTTTGATTGGTAAATTGTTCATACGGTTTGGTGAGGTTCTCTTGACTGTTCTGATATCTTTGATTAATTGCCTTATTAACAGAAGTTCATGGGGAATCCTCAGGCCACTTGCCTTCATTAGGTTTTGCTTTCTACCAATGTTGAAGCTATTTCTTTGAAACACATTGCTGAGAAGGAAGCAAAAATAGCAACACAATTTTTCAATACATGTATTTTCAGTTCAACTGATTTGATCCAGAATGTTTGGGAAATGGGAGAATACGGTGAACTGACTATTCTGGTTACCATTCGTTTGGTGATAGAGTTACTGTCGACGACATATGCCGATTACTGGGTAGAGGCAATAGTGAACATCTAATGTTTATTTAGTACCCCACTTGCAAAGCTCATTTGTGTACATCATCACATTTGCTTCTTCCAATGTCTGCGAAGTAGGTGGTCCAACGAAAATGGAATTTAAGAATAAAATGGTGTAGAATGTAATGTCATTTTGCCAGCAAGATTCCAGGACTTGGCAGAACTTTGGGGTTATCATCCGGAAATGTCAGTTACCATCAAGAGTGTACTGGGCATGTCTAGCGCAGATTACCCACTTTCTCTCAACCCTTTGGCATCTACACACCCTGCAGATTGCCTTTTGGAATATTCTTATTATCAGCTTCTGCACTTGGTCTTTGCCTTTGCAAAGCATACCCCAAGGTGCTTTGGTTATTTGAGGCTTCTGATTATTTGGAATCGGGATTATTAGTATCCAGTTTCCATAAAAGTCAACAGTGGACTCTTTGGTAGTTCCCAGGTCCCGAGAGGTATTTTCTTGCAAAGCAGCATCTAATTTGATAGCTGAGCACTCTTTTTTTCCTGGCTCCCCAGATGTGGCTAGAATTACGGTTTTAGGTCTTTGACCCAAATTGGAAAGAGATTGTAAGTAGTTGGTGGCAGACGGGCTAGTGTCAATTATGGACTGAGTTATATTGGAGTGCCTCACTGCTGTAGAGGTGGACATTCTAGAAATATGTTCTGGAGGTGAAAGACTTCTAAGCCTCCATGTTTGTCAGGTACCCACGGCGATCTGTCTTCCGATCAGTTCCCAGGAGCCAAGGGGTCAGGGCGAAAGCCAACCACAAGGCCTTGGGTTTCAGTTTGACTGAGAAAGCCCATGAAACAGAACTGCTGACAGCAGGAAAACTCTGGCAAAGGAGACCTCTGGATTTATTATTTCAAGCAAACAAAAGCAAAACATAATGATTGCCTTCTCCCTCCTCCCCTCGGGACTGAGGTTGAGGTCAGTTGGAGGAAGAGCCCACGGAGTGGACTTATTGGGAAGGAAGTGGAGCGCATGGAGTTTGGGGTCCAGAGGGGTTTGCGAATTGCATGCCTTGGGCTTTGCTGCCACTTTCGTTTCTCATTTTGAAGAATATAAAAACAGCCTCCTTGGGTAAAATAGATACCAGTGGAATTACGAAAAAGCCATTTCATGTTTACTAAGACGGCCTCCTGCGAGTGATTGGAAGCTCAATTCTAACAAGAAACGATTTCTAAATCCGAATGAAAGTGGATTTCCACCAAATGAAGTAGAAGAGCCAGGATGTTAAAAACCAAATGACAGGTCTGTCCATCGGTATCCGTGGCCCCTTCTTTTGCTCTTTTATGCAACACAATTAGGCGCTGTCTCCTTTCACTTCAAATTTAAGGAAATTGTCAGACAGGGAAATATGCTTCAGGGAGAGTGCTTCGGTTGCAGAAACAAGCAATATTTAATAGCTAAGTGTGAAATTTCTGGGTCATTGTGCCATAAATCCTACAGATCCAGGATTGCAAAGCTTTTCCACTGTTCGAAGCTCAACACAGGTTGATTTCAATGAAAATTCCCCCTCCCCACCCTCCTCTATGACTATATCACCAGTGCCCAGATGTCTGGTTTTCCCCCATTTAAAGGCAAACTAAATTGCTTTCCATGCTGATTTTTCCCCCATGAGACTGGCTTGTACTAAGGAACTGAATGTATTCTTCATTTCAATTGCCTGCTATGATTATTTTAATCAAGTAAGACACCAATAATTGAAAATCTTCTAGCAAGAGGAGGCAACAACGTCCCTCTCAAGGTAAAATCTTAGTTTTCCTTGCATTTTAAGAATTCGTCCTTGAAGGCTGAAGAAATCTGACAAATGCCATACATCACCTTGCTTGCAGACCTCTCTTCATGCTCTTAACAGCTTGTTGGGGGCACGCAGGATGTTTCATAGCAAGGGCTTTAGAATCCAGATTATGGCAGATCTCTTTATTTACCAGGTCCTATGCTTGCCCTCTCCTCCTTCTGCCCGCTCCTCACCCCTCCACGCATCAAGTGCCTGGTCCTTGGGATGAATGCATTAAAGGAGTGTTTAAAAATACCTCATTGCTCCGTCTCCACGTGCTCCATCATTGATTGGAGGCAGATGGGCCGCATATTTGTCAGTAGAGTAGAAAAAGACTAGCATCTTGTTATAAATCTGTCTGGTTGGCTTCAGACGATGGCAGTAAAGACAATGGGCCAGCGGTATCAAAGGCAAATGGAGACAAGGAAAGATCCTTAAACTTTTAAAAAGAATAACTCATTTTCTCAGTGCTTTGTTTTTTTCCCCCCCAAAATGTTTTTTTTTTTAATGGTGTGATATTTATTTACTTCTTTTTCATTGGCGTGGTTATTTAATTTTCCGCATAGGTGAGCAGGTACGACGGCTGTCTGCTGAGCCGCCCTCTGGTGATGCTGGCAATCTTGGTAGCCACTTTGGAGCAGGAGTCATGGAGTGGGAGTTGTCCTTTAAGAATGGAATGAAGGGAATGGACTCAATTTTGGTGGCTGGACTTGGTCGGTGTCAATCCTGGCTCCCTCTAGGTTACAAGATGGTACCCGTTAAAGAC